AAATATCACTGTGGTCACACCGGATGATCGACGTGGGCTGTCGCTGGCTAATTTTGCCTGGAACCTGCTTCTCAAACAAGCCCTCTGTGGGCATTTTGGTCGGCCGTCTCTCACGCTGTCACCACCTTTGCGTACTTGCTGACTGGCACGGCGTCACCTTTCAGGGCCTGAGCGTGACTCTCTGGGCTGGCCTCAGCTGAGATGGCTGCTCAGGCACGCAGAGAGCCGCCGCATGACGTAATATGGAAGCGATACAGAAACGGGGACAAAGACCAACGCTCATCGCTTTTCTTTTACGTTTCCGGGTGACCATGTAGGACTGTGTAGGCGCTCGGTGTGACGTATTTTCAGGGAGAGGAATTTCTGATTAATTTTGCACCTTTAGAATTTTCCTCCCCCCACCCAAGCCCGGGCTTCTGCGATTGCTGCCTCCACATGTAGACATAAATTCGACCCCCCCCCCAGCTGAGGATGTCTCCCAGACTCTCAGCACGGGCCTTCCTGTTGTTGTCCTAAACGGGCCTTCCTGTTGTCTTTTACACCTTGTTTTTCTCCACTGCAGCCATCCTCTGAGCTCCAGGAACCTGTTGTGCATATTTTTGCCCCCATGGAGGCGCTAGCGGGACCCGTCAGGGACCGGGCCCTCTGTGAGGCCGATCGGCTGAGAGGGAAATCAGGACGGTGCTCAGTCGCTCCCAGCCTACTTCAGATACGCTAATCGTGTCATATAGGGCTGTCTAATGGACAATAAATGAGCAAATTACCCTCGACTGCGCCTGCATTTCCTGTTCAGGTTTAATTCCGTGCTGAGAGGGAGGCCTGACTGAACACAGGAAGCCCGTCCTCATTATTCCCGTTCCCAGTTGGTGCCCAGTCCTGCAGCAGCCTTGACCTGTGCCCCAGTCACTGGACCAAAGCCCTGGGTGGGGTGGGGGTGGCTCTGTTTAGCTTGAACAGGACAGGCTGATACTGAGGCTTGGTAGAAACGCCGGTGGGTGAGCTGTCCCTGCCAGCCCAGAGCTCGGGGGGGGGGGGGGGGGGGTTGGGGGGGGGGGGGGGGGGGGGGTTGTAGGGGGGGGGGGTGGGCTGGGCGTGGTGGGCGGTTGGCTGGCACTCCCCAAACAACATAATTGCCATCCTGGCCAGAGTAACTGCAACACAGCATGGCTCCTGAAAAGTGTGTGCTGACTGGACACACCCCTGTCACGTGACCTAGAGACGGCCTCCAATCAAAAGCTGGGTTTGTTATTTCCTGGTTGTGCGTAATGTGCCCTGATTATTGCTGGCATGCGGGCAATGAAATTTAAACACTTTTTTTGGTCTTATCCAGCCCAGTCTGACTTAGTTCAGTGTTACTACATGTGTATTCAGTACATCCTTGGTACACAGGAAGTGTTACAGAGAATTTGTTGTTTTAAAAGTTGGTGCTAAATCTTTGTTGTGTAAGTTATTTTATAAATAGTTTATTTAGTGAAATAACTATTAATCTTATTATTGATATTGTCCTTGTTGGTGTGGTATTAATAATATGGTTAAGAATGATATAGTAAGAAAATAATAATACTCTTCTTCTTCTTCGTACATAATCGGCTTTGCTGCTTTGTGTTGATGCCCTGCAGATCGAGGTGGTTTCCTGCATATTTTAAACAGCCGTAGATGGATAATTGAGTCACCGCATTGAATTTCCTGGCACGCAGCTCCATCTGATTGGAGAGCGTGTACCGTGTCACCCGAGAGCAATATTGCGGTGTGGCTCATATTTTGAAATCGCTTTCATCCCTGTGAGATGCTATCAGCGTGTTCTTTGCTTTGACACCTCCCCTTTCCTGCAGTGGCACATTTATGTATACAAACCTTTTTTTTTTTATTCTCTGAGCCACATCCCTCAGCCAGCAGTGTTTCTTGGTGCAGCCTATTAGCGGTGCCCCTGTCGGCTTCCCGGAGCTGAGAGCAGGGCCTCGCCCCCACGCGGTCATTGCGGCCACCTGAGCCGGCCGGCTGCTACCTCAGTCCATTCCGGAGCGGTTCGCTCCAGGGCCCGGCCGCGTTACAGCTGCAGGGAGGCGGGCTGCAGTATCCCGGCAGGGTGATGATGCTCTATTGGAAATGAGACAGACGCTTCAGTGGCGCCTCTCTGGGATTCCAGCCAATCAGGGAAACTGGGGCAGGGGGTGTCCAGGCCGAGCCAGTGGCAGGGAGGTGAGCTCTGCCCATGTTCAGGGGCCCTGGGGGTATCATCAGAAGCAGCTGATTCTCCTGTATCTCTTGTCCAGCCTCATTGTAACGGAGGCTGTGCACATTAAGGAGGCCATTCCGTGCAGCCACACCCAGCTCTTCTCGTTTGCTAAAGGCACAGACTCTGCACCTTGGTTGCTTTTTAAATGCCAGGCTTTCGTAGGTTCACGGGCCAGCGAGTTGGCCAATCACATGCGTGGTGTAGGGTTTCAGCCTGGCTAAAGAATAGGCAGAGGCATCCCCCCCCCGCACAAAGCCGTGGGATCTGGCAGCCCTGACCACGCAGAGACCCTCTTGTATTTGCGGGTGCAGTGCCTGTGCTGACCTGGATCTTTCTGGCTTTCAGTCTTTGTAGCATGTGGTCTGTGCCGGACGACATGCAGCTTTATGCCCGAAGCGTAACAGGCCTCTTTCCTTCCATTTGCCGCAGTCAGGAAGCGCTCTGTGTAACATCAAACTGGGTCTGGACCGGGTAAAATTTGGTCATCGTTGCGTCGAGCCCTGGCGGTCAGTCACCCAGCTGCAGGCACTCAGTCTGGCTCACATAAGTGAGCGGCTTCACAGTCACAGTCACCCAGCTGCAGGCACTCAGTCTGGGTCACATAAGCGAGCGGCTTCACAGTCACAGTCACCCAGCACTCAGTCTGGGTCACATAAGCGAGCGGCTTCAGACCCAGCTGTCCTACTCGCCTGTCTAGCCCTCGTAGGGTTTTTTTTGACCACATAATAGCATGAAGTGACCAGAAGACAATGTTGCCTGACCCTTTTCCCTGCGAGCCATTTAGCCTGCTTCCTGCTCGCCACATCACAAACAGGAAGAGGCTCTGAGCTTCGCTGGAGATTTAGCTAAAAGGGATCCGTTGCTGGAGGCAGACTGAGCTGACTGATAGAGCTGCCCTTTGGCACCTGACTAAGAGCTTGGTTCCTGTATGTTTGTAATCATGTTGGAATGTCACTGTTATGAGGAGCACTGGGAAGGAGTAATTAAATCATAAAGTTATTGTGGCGATGCTGTGTAATTCTAACGGGGATTTCCTGATTACTGTTCTGTTGGGTCCAAATGGGCAACACAGATCCAGGACGACCCAAACAGGAAATTTAGATGATTTGGATCAGATGGAATCTTCTGCTCCTTGTCCTCCCAGCACCTGGGTCTTTTAGAGACGCCGTGTGCTCACGGTGGACTCTGACCGGACGGACGGCCTAATCGATGAGGGTGGCCGCGTGACGGCAGGACAGGTTCCGTTTGACTTCCTGGGGTTTGTTGACCTACACCAGCGTCCCCTCTGAGGCGGGCTGTGACTCACAAGCTGCTCACTCCTGCATGAAAATGTATGACCTGAGGGAGGCAGCGTGCACTCCAGAGGGGAGTTTGGGCAGGTGTAGTGTGAAGGAAGGGTGCCAGAAAGACAGGGGGTACCTGGCAGTTTCAGGGTTATGAGGGAGTGACCACAGGAATTGGAACCCACTGCTGATACTGGGGTGAAATTGACAACAGTCAGCATATTATGCATGTGAACATCATTGCGCATGGATATTAAAGCTTCAAAAAATATTTATTTAATTAACAATAGTTTATGCCTTATTTCTCGATTGTAAAATCAGTTGTTTTTTCTTGTCACTTGTATGTGGTTTAGCTTACATGAGGATCTAGTCACATCTGCTGTACTTTAAACTACAGCTTAAATGTTATTTCTACATGACTGGTAAATGAGCTTTCTGTTGTACTCTAGTTACTGTACAGGTGGTAACATAAACCCAGCGTTGAATGCAAAATGACTATTGTGACACCAGAGGGGCTGACAGGAGTGTTCAGAAAAGACCTCACTAGCAGTCATGGTGTCGCTGCCCTGCTGGCCGTGTGCCTAAAAGACAGCCATCACCGACACAGATGCACACAGTATTTCAAGCTACTTCCTTGTTTTTACCCATATGCATGGTTTGGGGGTTTAAAGTTCCAACACTGGTAACCAATATTTTTTTCTAATATTGCCAGTAGCAATAATACTACCTGGGGGGGGGGGGGGGGGGGGGGGTCACCTGTGGTGAAACGTCTGAACTTGCCAGTGCAGATTAGTGTACTGACTTTGTCATTTTTTATTCTATGGAAAATTAAAGATTGATCTGCTGGACAGACTTAATAATGACTTATAAACTTGTCAAAGGTCAGTAATTTGGGGCGTCTTCTAAGAGGGGAATGAGCCAATGAAATTCCCCGACCTGATTGTCCAATGCAGTCATCTCCATTATTTTAGTAGTTATGTCTTTAGCTCTGGTACTGTTAACTTTGAATATTGATTAAGTTTAAATATCAATTGGCAATATCAGCCAAGATCTGCACATTAGACTAATGCTGGTATCATATATTAATTGTTACGAAATACTGATATGTTAATTTGATTCATTATGTATCTCTATGTTAATGTATGCCTCTTGACTGTTTTGCTCTGCAGTGTCTCTGTCTGGTAGGACGCTGACCTCGGGCGGTTGCATAGGGGGCAGTGAATAAATAATGACCCACAGGATCTGTTACTTTTCATCAGGCATGCGCCTGGACGCCCCTGATGCCTAGCTGACCACAGCCTTGCCTGTTTGGGTTACACTCTCTGAATGCTCCAGTTAAGCAATTTGGGGGAAAAAAAATTAAAATCCCATAAGGCGCAGAGTGACCCCCCTCGTAAAGTGCTGTCAGGTCTTAGTATTTATCTGTTTGCTTTTGCAATGTGACTAATCTCTTTCCCCCCTCCTTGTTTTTTCCCCTTTAGTGTCCAGTGTCATGAAACTTAATCCACAGCAAGCCCCGTTGTGTGTAAGTATTACGTTTCTTATTGGTTGGCCTGGGATATAGGGCATGCCACGTGAATGTAGCTGGACCCACTGTGTGAATTGGAACCTGTATGCTGCAGACTGTTTTCTGGGTGCATGCCCACATAAATATGAGGGACCTTTGAAATGTATTTTCTAATGGCTGCTGTCAAATATGATTTGATAGAAATCTTGTTTTTGCTGATGCTGTATATTTTTAGTCTGCCTTGTATCCCAGCAGGCCAGGGGTCTTGATGCTGTGCGTTGGTGTTTAACCTTGTCATGTATATTTATACAGACCATTATGCTGCACCCTGTCCAGTGATGACTTCTTATACTGCATCCCCCCTCCTCCCAAGGCCCTCACACGGTATTGGCAGGGAGAGGGCAGTCCTGTAAAGTCATTGGCCTAACTGCAGGGTCCCTCATATCTGCATTTTTAATAGGTTGAGAGAGACCCCTTGGCAGTCATATTAGCACAGCAATGATGCTCGTGGTCCTGTGCCCTCTCTGCTGTTACCGGGCCTTACACAGCGATGATGCTCGCGGTTCTCTGCTGTTCCTCTCTGCTGTTACCGGGCCTTACACATCGCTGTTACACACCTGTCACTAGGGCTGGGTGATATGACCTCAAATCAATATCGTGATTCATTGAACATTTTACCTCGATTACAATTAATGAACAATTATTTTGTTTTTGTTTTTTTTGTTTGTTATTTTGTCCTCATATTTCATTGACAAGGTTTGTACTGTAAATATGCTGGGATATTTTTTTCTAATGAAAGACTATATATCTTTATCATTTTAAAATATTTGAAGGAAACACACACAGATGAAGCATTTTATGGTTATTTATTGATTATTTAAAAAAATTGAAATCAAAGCACAAATCACTTGAAATGAAAACGTCTCATGAAAAGGGTCACATTTTAGATATAATGTCAAAAGCAAATTCCCTTAAAAACTAGAAAATAAATAGTTTACATTTCGTGCTAACCAAATAAATCATTTATATTGGTCACATCTCTGTGGGTGAACTATAAGCGGATGATTATTATAACCGAGTTTTTTGTTTCTTCTTTATGTCTCCGGCAGAATACTATTTAATTGACATTTGTACATTTATTACATGAATATAAGGTAATAAAACGGACAGCATTACTATGTACTGAATCTTATTAACTATTTCAAAATACAGTACAGCTGTTTCAAATGCTTTTCAAATGATAGTACTGTACAAATTAAATTACTGAACTGTGTATAATACAAATACGCTATAATACAGTACTGTATGTAAAATATAGCTTATTGTAGTTTTGCTGCTGCATCTCGTTGGCTTGTTTTTGGCAGTTTATAAACTTTGATGAGTCTTTTTCCCGTCATGTTTTCTGTGCACGCAGCATTAGCCTACAGTAGCTAGCCAGAAGCAGATGGGTTACCGCAAAGTGAAGTCGGCAAGTAAAAAAAAAAAAACAAGAATTACTGTAATATTTTTTTTTCCATATGTTGTCATGTATAAAAAGACACTGACTACTTGATTACTATAAGCGAATTACGTAATCAGTATTTGTTTATTTTGATCCATATAAGCTGTTGATCACTATAACCCTGATCACTATACGTGGTTTCCACTATTTTAAATATTGCTAGTGTTGAAACTGATTGGTGGTGTTACCTTTGGTAGGTAAAACTTTTTCCCGCAGGGTTTACATTTGACCTCTTTTTGTTTCGGTTCATCTTCACTAATACCGCAATGTGTCCAAACGACAGACGCGGCATTTTTCTTTGGTACAAGCTGCTCGAGTGTTTGCGTTCACCTCCATGCTGCTTCCATGTCGCAGATGGACGGGGCGGAGTCACGTGACAGCATACGTAGTAGTATGTTTTTAAAGGGACAGTACAGTACATGAACACACTGGGGAAAATATTAACAGATTTAAAATTTTTTTTTTAAGTATTAACACGTTTAAAAAAATGAAATAACCAACATGATTACCTCAGTTAAAGGTTCTGAAAGTTGGTTTTGATTAATTTTCAATTGATTGCCCAGCCCTACCTGTCATGGGGCATGCCACATTTCCATGGCAACCTAGAAGCAGTCACCTGATCTGCTGTGAGAGCGGGAGCGGAACCATTCCTTCCCTCACGGGGTGGACTGCCCCTGTCTTGCTGTCAGTACTTTAACTGCTCAGCAGGTGTGCAAGCGTGGCCTGCTGAAGCACAGAGAGCTTGGGATGGTGTTTCTCTGGAGAACCCGGAGCACTGGCTGTGGGCCATTGACTGCTCTGTTCCGGAAACTCATCGACCTCTGACCCCCGAGACGACGAATTTAGTGCGGCTCTTCTTTGTTTTAATGTATCTGAAAGGACCAGCCACCCGCTCCGAAATAACTTTCATGTTTCATTGATGAGTGTTATGAATAGTTTCAGGTCGTGTTCTCTCAGGCTCGAGTTAGGGGATCCCCTGTGCCGTGTCATTCGTGGATTTGGATCTTCTGGGGTCTTCCTGCCGCAGGTTGTCACCACGGTGCTAACTATGCTGGGTTTAAACTATGTGACGCTCTCATGTTTTCTATTTGCAAATTTACCCCAAATAAATTACAGTCAAGTAGAACTTGTTATCCCGTGCCAGTACAATCTTTCAATAAGTTGGCGGTATTTCCGCAAGCTGTGCTGACAAATCATTTGCTTTTTCTCAATGTTGTCTCTGTGGAATACAAAATATTCCCACACTGCAAGGTGAATGTCTTATGGTGATCAGTTCTTGTTCACCTTTGTCCTTCTCACTCATTTTCGTTTATTTTCTCACAAACGCGCCACATGGTATATGAGTGAGTCACAGCAAGGACGAAAATGATTATGACTGTCTCTCGGAGAGCGCATGCAGAGCTCGTGCAAAAGCAGCGGCAGTAAACTTTTTTCCCCCACATATACGAGGTAATCTTGAAAAGAAACGGTCATTAAATTTGCAAAGCTTGCGAGATGTTTGGTCTGAGCCCAGCAGACTATCATGTTCCTCGGGATGTGAAAATGGCATGCGCGTAAGATGCGATGTTGATGTTAATGTCGCAGATTGTGCAGGTCTACTGCAGACTGTATATCTATGTATATCTTCTGTGTTTTAAGCTATAGACTTACTAGCATTCAGATATCAGATGTATGAATATAGGATGAGAAGGATATTAAGGAAAGTGCCGGAACGTTAAGCTGCGCATTAGAAAGAACTGGGGGCTGCTGTTGGTTCCATAACAATTGGTATTAAGCAGCCTGTCCCCCTGATCCCACCCCCCAGCCCTGCTTATCTGTCCTCAGCCAGGCCCGCACCGCGTGACTGACGTTCCGCTGTTACGTCTGCAGCCTTTCACAGGAATCTCAGCCCCTTATCACCCCCACCCCCCCGGATAGCTTGTCCTCGGGTCTCACTAAAATAGTCTGCTGGATTCTCCTTGCAGCCAAGTGAAGCCTTCCAATCTGCTCCTTTACAGTCGTGTTGTGATGAAGGAGGCTTTTCCGCTTTCAGTTCCCTGTACTTACCATGTCTCCTTATTGGTTGATGTCAGAGCAGCGCCCTCCAAAGGATGGTCCTGCTTTGTTTACTTTGCTCGATTTTTTTGTTTTTGTTTGTTTGTTTCTGCCTGCTGTGTGCAAATGAAAGTCAAATGTTATTCCGCAAACTGTGGGTGAGACTTGCATGGGCCTCATGGGGGTGCTGACAGCGCTGTGCTGCCCCCTGCAGGGCGATCGTGTCCTCACCATCCAGCTGTGTCATGAGGAGCTCCAGGGGGATCAGGCCCAAGCGGATTTCTACCTGCTCTTCAGTGGCTCCACCCAGAGGCACCTGACCAGCACCTGCAGGAGCGGCCCAGACACCCTGCAGGCCATCTGTCCCTGTAAGCCTCCTGTCTGCCAGCCTACCCCCTCCCCCCAGCCCTTTATTGACAGTACTGTCCCTTAGAAAGGTCACCTATCAGCAGTAAATCGTTAACCGGTGAAACGTTGTTGACCAGATCACCCCCCCCCCCCCAAAGACTGTACTGCCCCTTGTAGCAGGGATTGCTCCTGCGATATAGGAGCTTCCCTTTGGGGGAAAGTGAGCATGGGGTGAGGGGTTGTTGTTTGTTCTGCGCCCTCTGTTATTTCAGCGTGCTTCCTATTGTTTACCCATCCGCCTCTTTACCCGAATGGAAATTTCCGGAGGCTGCCTGCCGAGATGCTGTGCAGATCAGCCAGCGGTCCCAGGGAGGCCGGCGGACGGACCGGCCCGTTCTGCACACGCTTACCTTAGCGGTGCAGTGGCTGGACAGAGAAACAGATGACTGTTGTGGGGGACGTAGCCATCGCACCTTCTGTCCCCCGCCGAGGTCCCCGACGCAGGTTTCCATAAAACCCAGGGTTTGCCATAGAAAGCTCAGCCAACAGGAGTTAGCTAACGAGCTAATCATTTACCAGCCTATAAATGATACTGAAAAGGTCACAGAGCCACACTGTGGCACTCGCCTCTGCAGTGGCCCTGAATGCCCGCATGCGCTGTGCAGGAATCATGCGTTTTATGATCATACCATCACTGGCTACGCCTCCCGCACTGGCCCAGGCATCATCACTGCTTTCTGCAGTGCTCCGCCCTCGCCGGTCCATAAAACGCCCTCGCACTTCATCTCCTGGTGCTTTGTGACAGGAGCCAGTAGCCCAGATGGTTCTGTGCCCCGTCCCAGCCGCCCCTTTCCCAGAACCCTGCTCCCAGGACGCCCTTTTGCTGGAGGGTGCCTTCTCCTATGGCTGTCATCCCTGGAGAACCGCGCCCGAAAAGGGTGGGGCCTCATCCATTGTTTACTTGGGGGGGGGGGTTCAGCAGATGCCGCCTCCTCTTCACAAGGCCTCCCTCTGGCCCCTGAGGGCCCGCTTTGGCACTCCTTGTTCTAGCTTACTGCCCTGTAAGTAATCCACCATTGCAGTCTCACCCCTCTGAACTTTTCAGGCCCTGAGGTCCAGCTCAATCCAGCTTGTTCCTTCCCCCCCCCCACCCCACCTCCGCCCCACTGCAGTACAGATAAACCCCTCCCAATGTAAAAGCCGCCTTCTTAACAAGAGGAACTGACATCAGATTTTTTTTCCAAGTGTGTGCATTATGGAACAGCTATGTAGAGCTTGTAGCCTGCGAATGTAAAAAGAGCTGCGTGTGTGTGTGTGTGTGTGTGTGTGTGCGTGTGCATGCACACAACTCCTGCTCTGCTTCATGCTGATGCACTTGATGTTGACGTCTTATTTTGCTCGTGGTCCTTTGAGATCCATGCATGTAGGGATCCGACTCTCCCTAGGGTGACGCGCTCGGCCAGGAAAATTACTAGGCAGGAAGGCACATGCTTAGACAAGGCTAAACTCCAGCTTTGTTTACGGTGCCTGGGGTGTCATGTGACTGAGCACATGATGTAATCCAGTACAGGGCTCCTTACTTAAAATGCATCAGGAAAAAAAGTGCTACATAAAAGGGGTATTTAAAGCTCTAAGTTTATCAAATACAAAAAGAACAGAGATCCAGTAAATTTCTGGGTAACATTTTAGTAAAGATTTAGTAATAGTTAAGGAGCGAAATTTAAACTAATCATTTGATTCTATATTCGTAAATAAAAAGATTCACTTACAGTCACATTACAGAGATGCCTTTCTCCTGTCTCACACAGTATTTGCTAAAGTGCTTGTATAGGCTCAGTTATCACTAATGTCTGTGAATGCTTACTAATTCACTCTTTTATATTTCCAAGTGATTTACATGATTTACACGCCGTTTTGAAAATGCATTTCTGTTTGTTTGCGAATGAATCTCTCTATCTACTAATTAGGGGATTGTCTGCTTCTGTACAAACACCATGACGTTATCTGTTTGGACTCCTTACTGTAATTCAGTATTAACTGATTAATTCCCCCCCCCCCCCCAGCTCACGATCGCTGCGAACCTGTCCAGGTGACCCTGTTCGCCTTGAGGTTGGGTCACCCTGCAGCCCTTGTGGCACAAGCCAGCTTCTCCTTCACACAGGACCTGGCTTTCAACAAGGAACAGTTCCCAGTGAACCCCGCTGGTCAGGCCGGCGGCCAGGTGGGGGCGCCGCTGCTGGCCAAGCCCCATGTTCCACTGCGGGAGCATGAATGGCTGGATGAGGGCCGGACTATAGCCTCGTGCCGCACGGACCTACCGGAAAGCTGCAGTGTGCCAGGCTGCCACCTGAACACGGGTTCTGGTAAGTAGGGGCCGCCTGTGTGGAACACCAGGGGGCGCTGCAGCTGCAAGATGGCCTGAAGTATCCACCTTAAAATGCTAAAGTCACTAAAAGATTCTGAAATCAAGTAGCTTAGTTATGTTTTTGTCATCTTTATCTGCCTACAGTATAGCCTGCTGCACCAGCAGCTCTCATTTTAACAGCATGACAAATGTTGTTCACTTGTGAGTTTAATTAGTAATTAAATATTTAACAGTGGGACTCTTGCCAGAAAAGTATTTTAATGAAATGTCTGCTTCATATCACAGATAAAGTTTTGCCAGGATCTCATTTTTTTGGGCTGGGGCCTCCTCCTTTAGAGCAGGTTTCCTCACCAGGGGGGCCACTAATAATGTCGGATCCCCGGGATTAATGCACAAGCCCTTCCCCCTTGGGCGTGACAGTCAGCGGATCCGGCCAGTCGCAGGCCGCAGTCACCTTACATGTTATTTTTTGGTCCTGAATGTAACCTGTCTTGAATTCTTGAAGCTGGGGGAAGCAATTATGCTAACTGGCAAGTGGAGAGCGTTCCCACGAAAGGCTGGGCATGTGAGGGAGCAGCCTGGAGCGCATCCCAGTGGTCTCTGTCGGCGCTGCACGGCCTGCCGGCCCGAGGACACTTGTAGAACAGCACAGTCTCGCTGTTGTTTGTCTTGGCTCCACTTTAAATCCACCCCCCACCCCACCCCACCCCCTCCCAATGCACGCACTCATTTTACTCTCGCTCCCTTTGGGTCGGAACACTGTGTCCGGATGGCAGTGGCAGATATTCTTAAACAAATATTCCCACCCCACAATTTTTTTTCTTTGTTTATAGGGCATGTTATGTAAACCTTGCAGTTTTTAGACTCAAAAGTGTCTTTAGAATCTCAACGGTGCCCACTTTACGCTGTGAGCCTCTAGTAGCAGGTGTCCCAGTGGTCCGGGGGTGTTCAAAGGGCATCTTGGGGGGGGGGGGGGCTTTGACCCCCACTAAAGTGCTTAACCTGCTTTCCTTTAGTTAATTTATTCCAGCTGTGCAACGTGATTTGGAACCTCCTGCTAAACGACTAAACTAACAAGACATTTGAGAGTGATATTTGGCAGGTACAGAATAAAAATATATAATAATGTCTGCTGGTTGGTAAAACTAAAGTATACATTTGTATGGTAAAGACTGTAGGTGGATGATGAAACTAGTGGACATTCTTTATTATTATTTTAGTGCTGTTGTGATGCGGTATTGGTGTAGTATCCATGGAGATAAACCAATCACAATTGTTTATGTAATTAACAAATATGTAATAAATGAATGAGTTTTACTCACTGGAAGTAGTTTGTTCCCTGTCTGGTCCTGCATCCCCTTGTTCTTCATTCGCTACTCAGCCGCCCCTCGCTGGCCCTCCTCAGGTCTGCTCTGGTACTGACTCGGGGACGAGAGGAATCTCCTCAGAGGCTTCTGGTCTAGACTGGTAACCCAGCTCAACCTCATTAACCCCCAGTGACCAGGAGCAGCGCTAATCTGCCAGGCCCTGTTAGCAGAGCACTTGTCTGTTTAGATATAGGCACTAAAGTGATTTAAAAAGAGGGAAAAAAAGAAAGAAATCCCAGATTTCCTGTAAAGCAGTCCCACCAATGGGGTCATGAAATCACAGCAAAAATGTCAGTGGCCAGAAAGACTCATTCGCTGGAGTGATAATCACGCTTAAATCAGTCCAGTGCAGCTGAAAAGGCTGATTAAACGATATACTCTTGGAGCTAATGGTTGGCCAACACAAGGCCCTTGGGATGCTTCCGGTCCCTTGTGCTGATGCAGAAAGCAGTGTATGCACGCCCCCGTCTTCCTGCATTTCAATTCCCCCCCACAGCAGAGACAGCATGGTCCCCCGCGCTCTTTCTGGCGAGGGCTCTGAGCTGTTTTTGAGTTTCGCATCTGGGCTTAGAAACTCCCCACCTAGAGGTTTGCTTCAAATCCCCTGGTCAGTATAGTGATTTCGCCGTTGGGCTCTTGAGTAAGGGCCGTAACCTCAAATGCTCCAGGTACTGGCTGAGTCTGCTTTCAATGTCACTATAGATAAAAGTATCTACTAACTAACTGTAATCAACCCAGAGGTGAGAAGCGTAACATGGCGAGAACATGCAGCTCCACACACAAAGCAGGGGAGGGCCTCGATCCCCCACCCTGATGGTATCAGGAAGCAGAGCTGCCCCGATCTACTTCGTCAGGTTTGCAACCTCTGTCAGGTTCAATTTTGATGTCTAGACTGCTGGTGTCCAGAAAGATTCGGAGATGATGTTGTAATTAGCTGCTGATCTCTGAAATGCCAGATCGACAGACTTACCATCTAAGGAGTAACTTTAACTCAACTGAGCACTGAGCGAAAATGAGCGCGGCGTGAATCACATCGGGTGTGGGGGTGGTTTTTTTTTCGGAGGTGCCTTTCTCTGTATGTCAGTTTCAGAATCTGTACCTTCGCGTCCGTCTGCTCCCAGCGTCTGGCTGGTTGGTGCTGTTGACACAATACAGGTGGATCTGATTGCTGTATGAGGTCACTGCTTGGTGATAAGCTGGCTAAGAGCTCTTGAGGGCGTAATCTCTGGTGTTCCCTGTCGAGGCGGTGACCCTTGCCCCCACCCTGGGCCTTGCGAGCTCCTCTATACTGCGACGAAAAGGCCACCCAAATGCCCGACTCCGAGATGGGTCACTCTCCACGGTGATGATGCACTGGTGTGGGCATGGCAGCTAGCCTTGGAGTAGAGGGACCTGTGATACACAGATTGCGAAGCTGTGACTTAATCCTTTGTAGCTGTAGGCTGGTCAGAGACTAAATCAGCTCAAGGATGATGCCTTTAATCCTCCTGCCCGCGGTGTGTGTGACAGGTGCCTGGGTGAGAGACACTGGAGAGGGAGGGCCGGTCCATGCCTGGCACGCCCTGCCCCCACCATGCAGGAATGTGTGGGGATGCTTTCAGAACAGTTAGCATAATTAGCTTACTAAGGTACAAATCCTGGGGCAAAAACCTTACAGTCTGTGCTACTTTTGTTCTTTGATTTTCTGTTTTTTCTTGTTTTTCCTTTTTAAAAATATGAATACGGGTATAGTAACACTTGGAAGGGTGTAGTGTGTGTCGCGGACTGAGAGATACGGAAGCTAGGTTGTCTAGTTACACCAGGTTGCATGAGGGTCCCTGTATTGGCATGGTATGCATCTGCTAGTGGCTGTTTTAAAGGACGTAGCTGTCACACGGAAGCCTGCTTCCAGTCGTACACATTTTTCTACAGATGCCATTTGACTCATTGCCCTGACGTCTTGAACAGAGGGTTTGACGAGGACATTTTGTCAAGTCAGGGTGCTAAAATGAACCTGTCCGTCAGCCTGCCTTTCTGTTTGATGTATGTTGGGATCTTGTAGTCTCTGATCACAAAGGGTCATTTCAGAACTGCTCCATATAACAAATGAGGAACTGGGTAATAGGATTTTTGGTTGGATTTTCTCGCTTCCCCTTTAGCTGTTTAATGGTACGCTTCCCTCTGCTTGACAGAGCTACCTTTTAGCCTGTAAAATTTACCTCTGATGATTCAAATGTAATAGACTAACTCCTATTCAGCTTCAAGTCTCACTTTTTTGTAAGACTGCAACCGTAATAGCAGGAGGCCGGCGAAAGGCTGATAAATCATGGGTAATGCAGGGCATTGAAAGCGTGTGAAACCTTCTAGGGGTTTAATTACGTGCACGGTAATTACGCTGTGGCTTTGTGAAATCTAAAAACAGCCCAGCACTTTAGTGTACCTTCCCGTATCTCTATTAGCGGGGATTTGGTTGGGGGCAGGCAGAAGGAGCTCACAGAAAATTGGGTCTTAAGTCACCAGGGCAACACTTTTGTCAACAGCAGCCTTTGTACCAATCAGTTTTCCCCTTTTACTCCTGTTACCTGATTGGCTGGAACTTCTGTCTGTCACATGCCCAGTGGGATGGTTGGTCGGGTGGATTGTGAGAGGTGGGGCTTCTGTGCTTTCGGTCTGTACAGTAGTGCTTACCGTGCCTAACGTCACCACCCAACCGTTTCCCCCTGCTACTTAGCCAGCTTTGTCTCTGTTGCCCCCACCCCCCACTCCAGATCCTATCCCCCAGGAGACGGTGCCACACACTGCCCCGCGGCCCAAATCCCCCCCGTGGCAGCCGGCTGACCACGAGGCCCCAGGACTGGCCAACGAGCAGGCGCCCCCCCCTCTCTTGCTGGTCGAGACGGGGGACCAAGGACAGCCCCAGCACCTCCTCATCCAGTAAGTGAGTCACTCTACAACCCCCTCCCCCCGCAGGCAGCCACTCTCCAGTGCTTGGGGGGGTATAGAGTGATCTGGTGATCTGTCCCCATGTATGCAGCTCAGGTGAATGTGTGAGTGCCGGTGTGCCGCCTTTCTGCTCCAGTGTTTTCAGGCTACACTGTTTCAGTGAGTCATACAGTAGGTGCTCACACCCACATGTTGGTGTTCATATCTTTATGGGGACTCTCCCCACAAAGGCATAACTCTAATCCCAGCGATGGTAACCTTAACCCCTTCCCAGCCCTAACCTTAACACCTTAACCCCTTCCCGGCCCTAACCTTAACCATAAGTAAACAAACAAAATACAAGACTTTCAGCTATTTTAGTTTTTTGATTGCAGCCACAGATTTGTATATGGTTGAGGTTTATATTGTGGGAACTTGATATATTCTCTCTCAAGCTAAAAAGTAAGTGTAAATACAAACGCAGACCCACATGCAAATGCATCATGGCAAAGTTAGACATGCTGTTAAGAATGGGATTAAGACACACAGCTGTGGCTTTAACCACCAGTGGCAGGTTTGGGTTATGGTGGGGGGGGGCAGCTTTAACCCTGCGAGGTGACTTGGGCTGATTTGGGTTATGGGGGGGCAGCTTTAACCCTGCGAGGTGACTTGGGCTGATTTGGGTTATGGTGGGGGGGGGCAGCTTTAACCCTGCGAGGTGACTTGGGCTGATTTGGGTTATGGGGGGGGGGGGGGTCAGCTTTAACCTTGCAAAACTGTTGCTGTAAAGTTCTATTTTTTGGAGGGATGAATGAATGCAAATTAAATATTGGTGGGGGCACATCCTTCCCTCCCCCCCACGGTTCCTTCACCTCTGTCCCTGAGGTTCCGTTTGACCTCACCCACAGTCACATGACGCAGGATCACTAGAAGGGAAAAAGATCTTCCTGTGGCTCTCATGTCCAGGCACTCGTAGCCCCCCCCCCCCATCTCAGGTGATTTGGGCTTAAGAATCCAGCTCAGGGTGATGGGGGCTTTGGTTTTGTGTTATTTTTCTCCAGAAAGCTCTTTGCTGGTAGCCGGTCGTCTCGGGTGCCTTTCCTGTGTGGAGTAACCAGTGTGTAAACAGGCAGGATTGCCTTTCATTCGAGTAAATCCTTAAAGCAGACTGCAAGCTTATTTCAGTGGCCTATTCCATGTAATAGGCTTTAAATCCAAGGTTTAATGTGAAGCCAGTTGCCCTCAATTATTAACACATTTAAGGAAAAGTACGCTGGGGGCTTTGTGTGGAAGGGATCGCTCTCGTTCCTCCTTTTTGTGAATGCTGCTGGACGATTGTCATGCTCTCCTCCTTTGAATAGGTGACCCTAGCAGCTGACGTTGAAGATGAAGGGGGCTTTTATCTGATGCTGCCAGATGCTGGTTCTCAGTCTTGATCGGCTTTTAGACACGTCAGTGTCATTCATGCAGAGTCGGATCTCTCTTTCATATACAAGATACACGATATCTTTATTGCCACTGTTCAAGTACAATGAGATTTGTATCCTATAGAAGCAAAAACCTTGCAAGCAAAAGAAAATTTATGTAATAAAAGAAAAATATATAGAATAAAATAATACAGCTATTACAGTACATAGTATAAAAGTATAGGAGGAATACTGCTCATGAATTTTTGCACATGAGAAAAGCCTCAGTTGAGAGTACAGGAATTACAAACGGCATTATTGCACAGTATAATGGATTACATGGAATACAGTTGAGATACTGAGATAAGGGAGAGAGCAGCATTGTCATACAGTCAACATGGGTGGAGCCAAAAGAGTTAAAGTGGATATTTCTGCTTGTGTAGTGCCTGATGTGTGCCGTGTGGATAAGTCACAGTACAGTTCAGTCTGGTGCTGCTGTGAGGGGGGGGTGGGCCCAGTGTGTTTAGCAGTGTGCCAACGTGGGGGTAGACTCTGTTCTGCAGTTTTGCAGTGTGAATGTACAGGGCACTGTAGAGTGAAGCATTTGGTTCCAGGGTCGGTTAGATCACTGTGGATGTTTTGTGACTGACAAGTCGCTCCTGACAATTTATTTGTGTTTCTGTGTTTATGTGGTGTGTGTGTGTGAGTGTGTGTGAGAGTGTGTGTGAGTGTGTGTGCACCTCTTTGTTTCCTACGAACACTCACACAGATTGCATTCATGCATTCATTCGGTTCTTATTCCAAAGGGCTGAATTATTTGCTGCAGTGACGGAGTTAGAAACTGAGCCGGTGAGGAGAGACGGCTCTGTTCAGGGGCTTAAGCACACAGTTGGCCCGCATTGCGAGGCGGGGTGAGGCGCGCTAAATCGCTTAAAATTAGCTGACTGCTGCGTGGAGATTAAAGCCAAGGTGTGCCGCAGACGTGCTTCCTTTGCGAGCGAGCCACGTGTCAGCCGCAGATCCTCTCAGCTGAGTGTTTGTGGCAATACAGGGCTGAGGCTGCAGGAGCACATCCAGAGGCTTCCTCGCTGCCCGGTCCTGGAGGCTGGGCCGTGCGGCACCACCCTGGCCTGAACACCTACACGTTGACGGGGGCCGCTGTCCCGGGAGACACGCCCCTAGGCCTGCAGGAGGATGTGGACCAGCTGACGCAAATAATCAATCGGGTGAGTTGGGTTCATGCCCACGCTTCCTGGTTCCATCAGTGGAAGTGTTACCCCCCTCCCACCCCCGGGTGTGTGAATCTTTTCCGTCATCCCCTGTTATAAAGGTGTACTGTGCATAGAGATGAAAAAAAGCAGAGTTGCGTAAAAGAATTAGTTGTTTTTACATTTCGCCTGTTCGCTCAGAGATCCGTCTGCTGAGGTGCTGTGTCTCTGCCCGCTTCTCTCGTCAGGGGGGATCCTCATTTCGGCCGCAGTCAGAGCTCCCGGGCGCCACCCATGAATGTGTTACAAGTGCAGGAGTGGCTGCACATGACTGTGGCTCTGGCGTGACAGAGCAGGAGTCCTTTTCTGAAGATTTGTGTGGAGAACACAGGCAGGGGGGCCAGTTACTGAGGCAGGTTGAGGGGTCAGAACAATCCGAACCCCCCTCGTGCAACGGAGGCTCTGATGTTGAGGCGTGCCCCTGTCTGCACGGCGGTGTAGATTGTGGTGCTCAGGAGGAAAAGGAGGTTGGGGCGGCCCCTGTTTGCTGCACAGAGTCCAGGAACGAGTCAGCAGATAGCAGAGACGCCGCCCTGGCTTTGGAGGTGGGGCCTGGCCCAGCTTTCAGTGAGCTGTCTTGGGGAAGCCGGCAAGAGGAAACTGATACTAACCTCGGCACAATCAGAGTGCCGCAGGGCGGCCTGGGGGGGGCTGATATTTCGAGCCAGGAAGCAGCGAGAACAGCAGAAAGGGCGGGTGCAAAGTCGCCACACGATAACGAAAAATCAGTCCTTGGCGAGAGCACCATCGCAACAGATATGGGCCACTCACACTCTCAGGAGAACCCAGGAACATCCCATGATGATTTCGAGAAGGTCTCTCGGGACGCAGAGCAGATAGAAGAGATAAAGAAAGAAACCACAACCACTGCGGACTTACAGGAAGAAGAGGAAGGTGAAATGGAGGGTACCAATGTGGCAGAGGTGGATCGCACCACACGGGACCCCTCAGATTTATCTGCAAGTCAGTTGGGTGGCCGAGACTCCGAAGGGGCTGCGGTCAGAGCCGAACAATCGTGCCCCTCGACTGTTACCGAGGCAGACTTGGAACTGGGGACGAGCTATTGCGAACAAAGCCAGGAAACAGCTGCAGTGGATTACGCTGAAGCAGACGGGAGCGACGACCGCACACTGAATAACAAGCAGTCTACGGAGCAGTCTACGGAGGCAGAGTCCGTGCGGAGTGACTGTGGGGAGCTGGGCTTAGAGACGCAGGAGCCATGCAAGCTGGACTGTGCCGCAGAATTGACCCCCGAAACTATGGCTGAAAGTGCAGAGGTCAAGAAAGAGAACTGTGACCGAGATGAGAACACGGCGTCCTGTGGGTCAGATTTGGAAGCACGGTACCGTGACCAATTAGAGGCATCTAACCGGATGGAGTTGCCCCTACCAGCAGAAGACATGGCTTGCTTGGATCAAAATGGCTGTGAAATTTCTACTCCAGATCCTGCATCAGAAAATGGGGACATGTTATCCAAGGTAAATGAACCTACAGAAAATGATTTCTCTAGTCCAGTAGAGGCTGAGTCTGTTGTAGTAAACAGTGATGACATGGGAAGCATCATTGCGGGGGATTTAAGTCAAGACAGCGCTCAGCATCCTCACATTAGTGAGGATCACACTCTCGAGATTGGCATAGAGGGGAAGAACCCTGAAGTAACAGCTACACAGGAAGGGGGTCCCACAGAGGCGGGAGAAACCAATGGAATTGTGCCTCTGCTTTCTGTTCCCTTTTCCAATGAGGAGGAAGCCCTGAATTCAGTGATCGGCTCCACAGCTGTAGAAGAGGATAGATCAGAAATCTGTGGTGAAGTAACATCCTCTCAGGAATACAGTCCTGAGGAGGAGATGCAAGACAAAGGAAGCTGCACTGCTGCAAACAACATTGATGTAAAATCTGAATCCTCACTCTCCAGTGATGTGGAGGACATAGGTGGAAATATCAGTGATGTGGCTCTTGGAAAGGACATCTCAAATGAAGTAATGTCCACAGAGGAAATGGTGCACCCGGAGGTCATTGACGTGAGCCAACCATTAGAAAAAAGCAAAACTACTGTGCATCTAGAACCTGAGGTTCCCCCCAAACAGGATCTCGAAGTCCAGTCATCGCTCGTGAAGAAGTCTGACTCTGAGGTATTGTGCAATGAGAAACCACCGGAATCTTCGGTAGAAGACGCGCAACCAGCCCCCTCACATGACCATCCTGGGAAGGATATTGGCAGCCAAAAGGAGCAGAAGGACACTGACAGATGTGAGGTGATACGGGAAACACTGGAGCCTGAGCCAGAGTCGAGTGTCACTCACAAAACGCTCACATCTGCTGACCAACAGGTTGTGGGAGGAGGTCTCCTTCCGGAGAACGACCAGACTGATGCTCATAAACACAGTGTCTCCGAATCTTGCGTTGATACTCCTTCTGTGCCAGACGGCAGCCCAGTTGTGTCCGAGGCGAGTATCCCACATGGAGACATCTGTGTAAATGGTGAGGAGTCAGACACAGCGGGTCGCAGTGTGGCAACGGGGAGCACCAGTGAGGACACCGCTGAGGTGGAACCTCTTACCTCCATTTCAGTTTTAGAGAAGGTCTCTGAGCAAAAAGACCCCGAGTCTCCTATAGGGGAGGTTGTGACTCCACCTGTGAATGAGCTGCCAGTTCCTGCAGGGTCCATAGAGCAAGTGAGTAAGCTGACTGCCTCGGATTCCCTGGGGCTCCGTTCTCCTCTGGACCGAGGCAGCAGCCCATCTGCTGAGGCCGAACATGTGCAAGTGGCAGAGATGATGGGGAAGGTGTCCGAGGAAGAGCCCAGGAACACATCAGGCCAGGAGACCGTCGACAGCGGAGATGCCCCCACAGCAGGTGAGAGGCCGGCTCCACGGTGTACTGGGTGGGATCTAGATACATGCTGTCCTATTGCTATGTCGCTACCTCCAAGATAAAACTACTCCAGTAACCCACTAAGAAGCCAATTGTTTATCCTCCTGAAATATAAACACAACACTTAAAACCTACCATCATTTCAGCTCAGTGTGGCACATGCTGTAATAGGAGAATATGTGCTCATCTACACCCCATCCGTCGCATTGTAATTAAATGGCACCTTCAGCTGGCTTCAAGTCTCATCCTATGTCTCAGTGAGACCTTGTCTGTTCAGCCTCAGCCGGTTTCTGTGAGCTAAGAAACAGTTCCCGTTTTTTTTAAAAGACTACATTTATTATTTCTGTTTCAAGAACATGTGAAAGCAAATTTCATTTGGATATTTATATATCTGCCACAGACCATCGCATCTAAATTTATGTTAATTAACAAGAAAGTGACCAAATTAACATGAGCAGCAGTTAGTTTATTGTAACATAATTGAAGTCTAGTTAAAAATAACTAGAGCCACATTTTTATAAGCTTTTAACAGTGTCTAATGTCTATTTTTCTCAGTTTTCTGGTAATCGAGTTTTAAATTCCATCTCTATCAGAAATCTAAAGTAAAGCTTTTGAAAGATTTAATTTTCTCCACTGTTCCACTTTCACAAATGGATTGGTGGGTGTTCCGAGTGAACTGGGGGACCGGTGTGAGGTTCAAGGCTTTGTGACGAGATTGCTGCCTCTGGGGAGTGCATTGCAGGTGGGGGGGGGGGGGGCTGCTTCTCCAATGGCTGAGTCCCCATCTCTTCCTACAGCTGCAGCTGGAGAGGCAGCGACCTGTGAGAAGGACTCGTCCTCCGGCGTGAGGATGGATGACGTAGGTACTGTAGGGGTGAGTGTCAAGCGCTTTTTAATGGCCGCTGTGCTGATTTTTATGACGTTAAGGCTGTTTTGTTAAGGACTCTCCTTCCGGAAGGGCCTGCTGGAGTGCAGACGGTGCTGTAACGGAGGGCCGCTTGCACACAGTGGGGAAGCCCCTTAGGTGTGGGCCCTGGGCGTTCAGTTTTACAGGAGGACATGAAGGGATGATGTCATGGGCTAAATGTGTGTGCAGGGCATGATGGCATTCTCCACCCATAGTGTACAAGTCCCTGTGGCTGCCTCCATAAGCGCTAAGAAGGGGATTGTGTCATCTTCCTGTGGAGGTCGGCATTGTTTCCAGAATTTCCATTGTTTATGGAACATATACCCAGTAGTATAGGACTGTTTTTTATGGAAAATGTAAGCATTTCATTGGTCATTTACGATACTATCATCGAGTATTACGATACAGAAAATCCTCCACATACGAACCTTCAAGATAAGAACCTTCAAAAATGTGAACATGTATGTCCAAAAAATTAAAAATTGTTGCAATAATTGCACAATAAAAATCTGTGCCGGAAATTCAAATTTCCTGGCAGCGCGTAAGTTACTTCCTGTCTTTGGTGCCGGCAGATGTGCTTACATATTCCAGGTATAGAAACGAATGCTCGCTCATTAGCGGAAAGCGAGATCGGCTGACTGAAAACGAGGGGAAAATAAAGAACTCAATTGTTGGTTGTTAAAATGCACCCAAAATCAGTAACAAACATGCAAATGTTAACTTTTAAAGGCATAAATGTCTTCGATGAGAGTTGAGAAGAGGGAGGTTGGTTACGTGCGCATATACAAGGGCTAGTCCGATAATGGTGATGCGATCAGCTGATGGAACATAGTGGGAGTAAATAATTCTCTGTTGTTTCTTGTTAAAATACACTATATATACAATATATGAAAAATACAAATATTAACTTTTAAAAGCATTTTCTTATGTATAAATAGCTGTACTATATGTACATGTTTTCTATTGGGGTTGAGGGTTAGGAATTGGAGCAAAATCAGCTGGATGCCTAGACTCACTTTGCTGGACTTGTGAACCCACTATAGGAATGGGACTTGTTGGTATCTTGGGGTCTTACTGTATATACAGTAAAACTGGTCTAAGTCGCCAGCTTGTAACTCGTCAGTGTGCACAAGTCGACGCTCAAACAAAAGTCCCGATTTTTCCTAATGATGTTTCCTTTAAAATTCCTTGTGTAACTCGCCGCTTGTAAGTCGTCAAATTCCCTTAGTCGTCACCTAAATCCCGAACAACACAAATGAATGGATTTTCCTCCCTGTAAGTCGACACCCCAATCGCTGCATTCCCGCCGCCTGCTTGTCACCACGGCAATGTAGAAACGGGGAATCCCCACCTATCGCACTAGTCGCTCCCCGGTCTTAAGTCTCGCGTGTATAGTGCGGTGTAGTAGAGGTATGGTGTTATATTTACTAGTCGGCAAAACGGCGAGATAGACATAAGTCGCCAAAGTGTCGACTTTATAAGTCGGCAAAACGGCGAGTTAGATTTACTAGTCGACAAAACGGCGAGATAGACATAAGTCGCCAAAGTGTCGACTTAGGTGTATCTCGTCAATTCTCTAAGTCGTCACTTTTAAGCTGGTCCCGTGAGTGTCGACTTAGACCGGTTAAACTGTACATATTTGACCTTATCCCAATATATCTAGCTTGCTGTTTATCTACCATGGATCATGAGTTTGCTAAATAAGCATGTTCTGCTGAGGGAACTTTTTCGTAAGGTAGAACTACTTTGTTTGTTATGATTCCAGAGACGTGAACTGATAACCTTCTGGTATCGGAGCTGAGGATGAGCTGTGGATTAGGAAGGGATGGTGCTGTTGCCAGGCTTGAATTATGGGTTATAAACAAGCTTGGGCGTGTCCACCTGCCTTAATGGGTGTTTTGGTGTCTTCTGGCGACCACAGCTGGCTTTGTAGGTTCATGTCTACTCAGCATTTGATGGACGGCGGTTTTATCATTGCGTTTGGCCAAGATCCCACAAGTGGCCAAGATCTTCACCCGCCTTCAAAGGCAATGATATCAGCAGCTAGGCTGAGTCTGGAGCCTCCGAAGGGGAGTATTCCTCTGGCTGTTTCATGCGGGAATATTTCTGATTCTGCGAGGAGGGAAAATTAGAACGAAAAACCCAAGATTCAGGATCTGTGTTTGGTGCAAGGTGGTAATATGTCTGGGTAGCATGTTGCTGACCTGTGAACAACACAATGCACCTATCTCACCTTCAACAGGTCATCAAGGTCAGAAAATAAATTATTCTTCTGTAGGTGTTAAGAAAAGCTGTATTTTACATATATTGTTTCCAACTCATTTAAATGACTGTTGTGGACAGTTTCAAAAAACAAACATTGTTAATATCAAGCTTTAAAATGGTGTGCTTTAATGTTCTGAGGTCATTAACACATTTTATAAACATACAGATAAAAAATACTCAAAAGTTTGTTCTGCAGAATGGGAAAGGGTCTTTATAAGCTTGGATACATTTAGAAACAAAATTACTTAAAGTGTTTGGTTTCAGTCACAGAATGTTCTTAGACTCCCCCTGGTGTTCACTTTTGGTATAACGGTTTCCAGATGTGCCACCATATCTGGCCCCTTTCGTTGTTGATACTGAGGAAGGTATAATTGCTATGGTTAATGAGCTATTATACACTTATATAGCTGCACAGCTAAATATTCGAGCAATTAATCAGTGGAGGAAATGAGCCTCTTAGAGCAGAGGAGCATTTTACAAACATTTTCAAAAAAATCTTGGGACTTAAGGCTTAAATAATTTCTGAAGATCAGTTAATGGTGGTGAATTGCAGACAGTTGTATGGAATGTATTGGTGTACTCTCTGATCGTTAGGATGTGTCAGGGAACCTACTCTGAGATGTGGTCTGCAGTTGCCCGTGGCTTGTCTTGAATCACTATTCCGGTAACATCACCTGATGCCTCTTACTCATTACAGGTGATTGTCGTAGGTGAATGGCCATGTTTACAATCCAATCCAGCTACTGAGCAGCCGGGAGTTGTGGAACAGTCTGAATGGCATGCACAGCTATCAGTAGAGACTGGGGGTAATATCCTCAATTCAGCCCTGTGGAAAGGACTTAGTGGGAAGTTGAATGCTGCATCCAGTGAGGCAGGTACACCTGAAGCACATGGTTTCAGAGGCCTGCTATTCCACTGCTGGAGAAGTGTGGCCTCGC